AGGGAAGTGAGGCATTGGGGGCAGCCTACAAATCAGGGAAGTGAGGCATTGGGGGCAGCCTACAAATCAGGGAAGTGAGGCATTGGGGGCAGCCTACAAATCAGGGAAGTGAGGCATTGGGGGCAGCCTACAAATCAGGGAAGTGAGGCATTGGGGGCAGCCTACAGATCAGGTACGTAAGGTAAGGGTCTGCAAGGGGCAGGAAAGGACAGAATGAGCACAAAGGTAAAGTAGGAAAAGGAGCACAAAGGTGATGGAGCAGAAATGAATAGAAATGAGCAGTAAGGGTCAGCAGGGAGCATCTGCAAGGAGCAGAAAGAATCAGAAGGAGCACAAAGGTAAAGTAGGAGAAAGAGCAGAAAGAGAAAGGAGCAGAACAGTGTAAAAGAAGCAGAAAGTAGCAGAATGGTAAAGGAGCAGAAGAAGCCAAGGAGGAGAGAAGACTGTGTCAAATGAAGAAGAAAAGGAGATTGGAGCAGGAAAGACAAGTGAAGTGATCCCTCCACTTCATTCTGGACACCACATCATAAGGCTTTCATGCCTGGGCTTGGCAGGGAAACTTTGGACCTTCTCATCTCCCCAGTTAAAAAAAAATCACAGTGTTAATGTGTCTTTTATTTACTGAGGGTCATGAAGCACAGAATGCTGCTGGGTAGGGGTGTCGCTGATTTGGCTAGATTGGCCAATAGTAGCACCCCATTCATAAAAAAGTAAAACCTTTTTATAAACCGGGAAGCGATAGGTTTAGAGCGTCAGCTGATTCTAGCCAATTAGTGGCACCCATGCCTGACGTCAATTTGCAGTTCCTGACACTCCGTTTCAGAAGCCGAATACCACTTAGTGATCTGGAGCTGGAGGAAGTCTTTGGGGTAAAACCATTTGAGAGAGGTTTAACCCCCTTAAAGGAAATAGAGCACCCAGGGGCTTCCTGGCATCATATCATTTTCATTTAGATGAAGTTATTATGGTGACCAGAATGTTCCTTTAATTTGATTAAAGGAACACTATAGTGTCAGGAATACATACATGTATTCCTAACACCATAGTTGTGAAAATGCTATTCACCCTGGCTTTATGTGATAATGACTATGCCCCTCCCCTTCATGACACGGTCAAAAAGGGGCCAAGCTTGGATGTCATAATTATGCCCCCCCTCTGGAAAAATTCCTGCAGACACCCATGCTTGCACAGCTGTCCTAAACACTTTCTGCAAAGAGCCATCTAATGTTTTTAAACTTCCTTTATTTCATAGTCTGTTTAATTTAGATATTTTTTCTTTAATTTCTGTTAATAGCCTTCTAGAATCTGCAGGAGCCTCCAGTGTGAATAAAGTTCAGTTTACAGAGCATGCAATATTAACCTCTAAAGTAAGTTAAAGGGACAGTTCAGCTCATGGAAGTGGTCTGGTTGCAGCGACCCTGCAATAATTACCTTGCAGGGCTAAGATTGCCACTAGAGGCAATTCATGGTGGTTAGGTGCCCAACTGATGCTGGATGTCACCACTTTTTGTATGAGAACATCCAGCGTCTGTCATTTCCCCATAGACATCTTTTATTTGTTCCGTCTGAATCACTTCCAAGACAGCCTTCGGCTTCAGCAAGATCCCTCTGTTTTCACCTGCCTGCAACATGCAAACTCTTATGTGATGGGCTATCACAATACATACAATGAAAGCACACAGTATGTTTTTAGTATCAACCAGTCACCAAGCCTGACAATCCCTGAGAATACATTCTCTGGTGGGCATCTCATCTCATGTTATCTGTGTGGTCACGAGACCTAGTTTAGCTTATCTGATTTACCATGTCATTCATTAACCAAAATAAACCGTGTAACCTTTCTTGATATTGTACGTCACATTGCAGTCAATCTTTTACAATGTTAATGAAGGCCTGTATACCTAAACTCTACTCTGCAAAAATAAAGACTTTTTTTTTAATGTTGCTAATTTCAGAGACTGCATAGAAACATTATAAAGAATGCATATGTCAAAAAAATATTCACCAGATGTTATAAGGTTGAAGGTTCCTTGCTCTAAGCAAAGTATTACTTCCTTTCAATCTCCATTCCATCAAGTTCAAGGACTAGGGTGCAGGAGGGAATACCGGGCCTTAAAGCAGTAGCTGATGGCATGAAAGATCTAATAAAGGTCTTCTGCAGTACGGGAAACCACAGGTGTCTGATCCAAAATCGAATCACTGCCATGGTGACTGCTTGTTCCTGCTGAATCCTCTTCAACAGAGGGAATTTGAGAGAGGCTGGGGCAAACACATACCCCAGATTGAATCCCCACTCACAAGACAGGGCATCTATGTCTTCCTCCAAGGGGGTCAAAGAAGCATGTGAAGAACCTTTCCACCTTGTTCTTGTTGTTCTGAGATGTTGCCATTATATCTACCTGAGCAAGGTCATATTTCTGGACTATGTACTGGAATCCCTGAGAGGAGAGAGACCACTCTGTTGGATCCAATGTCACTATGTTTGGGAAGTCCTCCAAGAGATTTACTTTGCCCAGGAGGCCTTCTAGATTTTTCTCTGCCGGAAATAATCTTCATTAGACATCCTGCTTTTTATCACCCCTTGATGACTGAGATGAGCAACTAGCGAAGTGTTGTCTGCCCTCACTCAACAACAACGTTGCAGAGAAGGGAACTGAAGAAGGCTTGAAAAAATGCTTGCAGCTCAAGAACGTTTAAGGACTGATGAGTCAGTCTGTGGTTCCATAGTCCTGGATATAATGAAAACCCAGATGTGCTCCCAGAGCGGTTTGACAGGCATCTATTATAACCATCAACCATTGAGTCTGGCCTAAAGGAATTCCCAAATAAAAATTGCAGTTGTTCAGCCACCAAGTTAGTTCTTTCTTGAACTTGGAGGGTATGAAAATCTTATGGTTCACATCCTCATTTGAAAACTGGGACAGGAACTTCATTTGAGGTACTCTCATGCCAATGAGCACATCTTGTAAGCCCTATTGTAGGAGGATAGACTCCCCAGAATGTTAATAAATTATCTTGCTGGGAACGACTGGAGAATCTTTAAGAGGTAATCGTAAAGGAGAAGGTAGCTCTAAGCAATTTTGGTGGGGCACCAGCCCAGTCCTTGTTAGTGGGAGACTTCTCCAAGGTCTGGGTTCAGTTCCCTTCTTTGTCTGTGATCTCGAAAATTCTTTACCTGGTCTGTAATCCTTGTCCCGAAAGAACCATCTATCTTGAGGAAAGGATCACCTAGGAAAGGGATAGGTAATATTCAGCACCAAGATGTGGTGAACTACATATCCCTTGATGCTTTGCCATCATTATGGCTTTAAGAGCATTACTGAGGACGTATTTCACAACATCTAGAGTGCCGAAGGTTGCCTATCCCTGCTCTAGGAGGTCACACTTTCAGGCTGAACTTCCCATATGCTAGGGGGATATTTGACCCTAGTAAGCTACATCAAATCATCTGGTTACGTTTTTTTAAGTATGTTTGTTTATTATGATTTTTTGGGATATTATTTTAGAGATTTTTTCTTTGATTTTTTTCAATAGATCAATATTTTTTTTTATAGTCCTGCATTGTTATGTAGTTCATATATACACACAATGGATATTTGTGTGTTGTGAGCCTTAATAGTGTTAGTTTGTTTTACATAAAGCCCACAATTATGGTCTATATATGTATATATTTCTGTAATTGTGGTGTTATATTAAGTATAGACTCCTCTCTAATGGCACTGTTTCACTTTTATAAGCACTGTACCACTTTCCTGTACAGCTTGTCTATATGTATATTTCAGAATACATAAATGCACTTTACTTAATAGTATCATGCACTTTACACTAATATCTTCACTTTAACTTTATTAGCCCATGCATGCAATACTTCTTTACTTCTACTGGACTTTTCCTTAAAGGACCACTATAGGCACCCAGACCACTTCAGCTCAATGAAGTGGTCTGGGTGCCAGGTCCATCTAGGGTTAACCCTGCAGCTGTAAAAGAGAAACTGCTATGTTTACAAAAGGGTTAATCCAGACTCTAGTGGCTATCTAATTGACAGCCGCTAGAGGCGCTTTGCACTGTGATTTTCACAGTGAGAAGACGCTGCCGTCCATAGGAAAGCATTGAAAAATGCTTTCCTATGGACTGATTGAATGCACGCGCGGATGACATCGGAAGAGGGAGGGGAGTCCCCAGCGCCGGAGAAAGGTAAGAGTTTAACCCCTCTTGAGCCCGGGGGAGTGGGGCTATGAGGGTGGGGGGACCTATTACTATAGTGCCTGGAAAACAAGTTTGTTTTCCTGGCACTATAGTGGTCCTTTAAGTCTTGTATCTAGTTTAGCCACGAATTGTCACATCATAGACTTTCACCCATTTCTTATCATGGGGCTACACTGGCATAATAATCCCTTTGGGCTTGCGGTTATATATGCTATCTCTTATATTATTGGGTACTTTGATCTCTATATATCCTATCTTGTTGCACCGTATATGCTTATCTTGTGTATTTACGTTACCATGGTGCTCTCGGCAATGGCGCTTTGCTATGGCAAGAGGGTTACGCGCTTTGGCACTCCTTCCAGGTAGGACACGCATGCGCACATGGTCCAGGAGGACGCAGAGTGTCTGACACGGATCACCGGTGGTGAGTTAATTTCTTTTCTTATGAGCTATATAATACAGCATTTTATGTTGGTTATGTATTGTTGGTTGATCCTGAGGAAAGCCCCAGACGAGGGCTGAAATGTTGATTTTATGGAATAACTCCTAATAAAGAAAACGTTTTTACGTCAAAAGATCGTGAGTGCAAGCCCTTTCATACATATATATATATATATAAAAAAATCAGCACTCTTAGAAACTTCTTTTACTAAAAAGTGTACACCTGGGAGTGCTGATTTTTTTTTTCTTTCATACATTTAGTGCAATCAAGCACCAGGTCATAACTGTAAGTAGGAGTGCAAGGCTTTTTTTTTTTTTTTTGGTAAATCTGTTTTATTGAGGTATAGCGAATGGCATAATGAGGCGCGCAGGCTTCCACATACATACAACAAAGTATAATACATGTACATTCTGCTTTGGTTTACATAAAACGTTTAACAGTAGTCTCGGATCATTAGTACTTATATATTTAGTTTCGTCTCGTGTATAACGACAACTACGAGTAAGCGTAAAACTCAGTCGGTTTCACGAGGGATGAGTTGCTCTTAGTGTGAATCAGTCTCTCGTTTCCCTGTATTTCGCGGTATGCATGGTCGAGGTAGGCACCTCTTTGGAAGGGAAGGGATATATGTGTGAATGTAGTGAGAATAGGCTAAATATAGGGGCGGGTAGTTATTGCCCCAGTGAAGTTTCTATTGTAGGCAACTTATTGCTGCATGTGGTCTATCTTCTCTGTGAAGAGCAGTATGATCCCCTCTATGGCAACTCTTGTGGGTATCTCCTAATGTTCAGTGTCGAGGGTGTTAAGTGAGTGGCTCATTCCTGACGGTCATGTTGGCACTATTTCGTGTTTTGATTGGGTCGTAGCTACAGGTCCCACAGGGGGTTTTCCTCGCAGTGAGCTAAGGGGTGGTTGTAAGCCCCTCTGTCTGGGGTGGAACAGGTGGTGTATAATAGAGATTTTCCGTAGTCTGTATTTGTAACCCTGTATGGTTTGAGAGTGCAAGGTTTAGTCCACCTTCCTTTATTTTTTTTCTTCATTTTTTACTCTTGTGGCGCAGTATTGCTTTCAATCCATAAAAAATATATATGTAATGCCATCCTAACTGTATTTTGATAAGAAAAAAAAATATTAAAAGAAATTTATATATATAACAGCTGTGGAAAAAGATAATTCTTGTGAACAAGCTATCTGTTGCAGCTATAGTAGAGGAAAAGTCCCACTTTCCAGGGAGGAACTGTGTATACAATGTATCTAAAAAGCGCAGCAGTATAATAAATACACAAATTTATTGATATAATAAAATGTCACAAAGATAATATGCACGAGAATACACGGCATATAATGCAAATAGTTAAAATCATTTAAAAAAAAAAAAAAATAAACAATATAATACCGAGAAATATAAATTTCTGTGGATTCTTATCAGATGTAGATATAACACAATAAAAACATATAGACTGTGTACAAACATACAGCTGTGTAGAGTCTCTGCAGCTGATATGTTTTGTGTTATTATTAACCTTCAGAGTGTTTTTCTGACCTGCTTGGAGACCCACTGTACCGTGCTGGTGGTTAGGAATGATAGGAGTAGTAAGTCCAGGTTGTTTATACTCTCCTGAGAGAGACTGCTGATGCAGTGTGTCAATATATCAGTTCCAGCTCCCAGCTTTGTTGTATTCTCTTATTCGTCCCGCAGGATGTGCGCTGTCTCGTTTCGGGATAGAGGGTGAACGGGAGCTCCAGGGTGTCAGAAAGCAAAAGAGGAAAGATCGGTAATCGTTAGCTCCTATATGTTTAGTGAGGAGTTCTCACTTTAATGAAATGGACCAACTGTCAGAGCTCCCCGTTCTTCTGCCGGTGTGGCTGCACATAACCTAAGCGGCCACGCCAACAGACATATTGTATACTTACCTAGGTCGCAGCAAACCGCTGCCCAACTTCCTTCCTTTCCGGTCCCCAGCGTGTACGACGTTCCTAGAGACGCTGGCTGCTGCGGTTCCGGTTTTAATAGGAAACTCACCTTCGCCCACAACGTGCGTGCGATGTCATGTCATAGAGGTGCACGTACGGTTTGAGACCAGAGACAACCAATTACAGCCTCAAGAGGGTTATTTAAACCCAAATTAGCTTTTGGTCAGTGCCCTGTCGTGGTTTCCACTAGCTGGTTATCAGAGAGTGTGTTCCTGATTAAATAATTTAAAAAAAAATATCAGCGAAGAAAGATCCAGGATGCACTAACTGGTCTTTGTCAAAAAATACTGTGGTTTATTTAAATAATGTGCATACAGCACATATATGCACATTATTTAAATAAACCACAGTATTTTTTGACAAAGACCTGTGAGTGCATCTTGGATCTTTCTTCTCTTATATATTGGACGCACTGTGGATTGCACCCAGGCAGGTGAAATTGGAATTCTGGTAAGGAGAGTGACAAGCTATCTACTATATAGATATGTGAGTGTATATATATTTCATTCTATTTTGATACAAAAAACCCCAAAAATGGTCATCACGCATACAGGCAAAGAGCTAAACCTCACACTACAACACACACAGAACAACACCTGGGAGACGACAAGACCCATACAGAAGAGACAGGGACCACTGTGGAGATGACACAACACCCCCCCCAAGACTAATTATGGTTTCAGGACACGACAGACCGGACTGTACTAAAAACCCATAGGGACATGAAACAGTAGAGCTCACCGCGAAACCCTAAACTAATAGGCAAATGAGAAACTGCTTAAAATCACACACAGCTAACTCAAAGGGGTGAACAACCATAGACACCCAACTTGATCTGAATAACAATGACTACAAATCTGCATTTGAATGTCATAAACACGATACTCACCTTGCCTGAGAGACCTGCAAGTCTCAGCCACGGACGCTTCTTTAGAGATCTGCATATCTCAACATATTAAACGCTATTTCAAATACTTTATATGTTAGAAACCTGCGTGTTTCACACTGTACATTGAAGAAATGATTCTTGACAACATGACAAAATACAAATAAAAGGCTATTTACAACAAAAAAAAAAAAAACTGTCGTTGGGGACCGCGGCAAATAGGAGCCCTGGACTGGCGATACGCGGTGATCACGGTCAAGGGGGGCCTGCCGGAGACCCCAACAGTCCCCCTGCATCAGCTCCGACCACCCCGGCCCTCCAGGGCCATATGATCACATCGCCGCCAGCAGGGGGACTGTCTGACCTGTTAGGCAGTCCCCCAGGCTGCTAAAAACTAAAAAAATAATATTTTATATATATAAACATTTTATAATATATTATACATATGATTTCATTATAAGTGTACTTTAAGATATATACACATCTCAAAATACACTTATAATGAAATCATATATATCCATTATATATATTATAAAATGCTTTAATTATAATATATTATACAGTGTGTGCAGCCCTGTATATAGGAAATAAGTGTGTGTGTATATTATACACACACATATTTTGTTGTGTGTGTGTGTGTATATAATCTAAATTGATTTTTTTTTTTTATAAAAAAACAAATGAAAACGCTAACTTTGGCCAGCGTTTGTGACTAAGTGGCTACTACAAAAGACCAAAAGACTGGAAATACCCCATTTGGAATACCCTGGGTTGTCTACATTTGAAAATGGTATGCCATAATGGGGTTATTTCACATTCGTGGGCTACCATATGGTCTCAAAAGGCAACACAGACCCAGCAAACCAATCTGGCAAACTGAATTAGGCAAGCCCTATATTGACCATGTAACTTTCCATAACACCATAAAACCTGTACATGGGTGGTATTGTTATACTCGGGAGACTTTGCTCAACACAAATATGAGTGTTTACAATGGGAAAACTTTTCACGACAATGAACTCACCAGTAAAAGTGCAGTTTGTGTGTAAAAAATAAAAATGCAAAAAACAAATATGAACGCTAACTTTAGCAAGCATTTGTGGCTACTACAAAATACTGGACATACCCTATTTTGAATACCGTGTGCTGTCTACTTTTACAAATGTTATGCCCTAATGGGGCTAATTTTAATTCCTGGGCTGCTATACGGTCTCAAAGGCAACATAGGCCCAGCAAACCAATCTAGCAAATTTCAATGTGCAAACATGGACAAGGAGAAAGCCCTACATTTGACCCCTGAACACAGTGGCATACCTACCATGGTCGCAGGGATCGCAGCTGCGACCGAGCCCCTCACTGAAGCCACCCCCTCCTTGTTCCCCATGTCATAGGGGGGCCCAAGAGGCGGCCCACTGGCCACCTAATGGACCCCTCCCCCAGGCAGGTGGCAGAGTTCCTGTCAGACGCGGCGAGGGAGCTGTATTCTCCGTGCTCTGCTCCCTCGCGCGCCATTTGCTGATGCCGGAATATGACATCAAATTCCGGCTCTCGGCATCAGTATAGAGCCCGCCACAGTAGAAACCCCACTGGACCCCAGGGACAGATCCACGCCAGCTCTCCATGTAGGGAGGCTGGATGGACATTTAATAGGCATGTGCATGGGGAAAATATTCGGCTCGGTTCGGCATTCCGAAATTCGGGACTTCGGAACTGCGGCATTTCGGGACTTTTCTTGCAGCCGCTTGGTAGATAACTCCCTAATTCCGACGGTATTAGGGAGTTATCTACCAAAAGGCTGAAAGACCTAAATTGGTCTTTCAGACAAATTTACTAATGCTAAGTAAAAATTACTTAGTGTTAGTAAATTTTGCCCCTTCACGCTATACTGCAAGTAGGGGCATGTCTATTAAACAGTAAGCAGCCTGTGGCTGCTCACTGTTAAAAAAAAAAAGGGGGGGGGGGGGGGGGGGAGGACCTATTCTCCTCCCCACCGGCCCCCACCCCTAAGCAGCAGGTGGGGGCCCTAAATAAAAATTGGGGGGGGGAACCTAATGTCCTCCCCCCTGGCCCCCACCCCTGAGCGGCGGGTGGGGGCCCTAAATACAAATTGGGGGGGGGGAACTATTGTCCTCCCCCTTGGTCCCCACCCCTGAGCAGTGGGTGGGGGCCCTAAACAAGAATAAGGGGGGGATCCTAATGTCCTCCCCCCTGGCCCCTACCCCTGAGCGGCGGGTGGGGGCCCTAAATACAAATTGGGAGGGGGACCTAATGTCCTCCCCCCTGGCCCCCACCCCTGAGCGGCGGGTGGGGGCCCTAAATACAAATTGTGAGGGGGACCTAATGTCCTCCCCCCTGGCCCCAACCCCTGAGTGGTGGGTGGGTGCCCTAAACAAGAATAAGGGGGGGGACCCTGAGCAGCGGGTGGGGGCCCTAAATACAAATTGGGAAGGGGACCTAATGTCCTCCCCCCTGGCCCCAACCCCTGAGTGGTGGGTGGGTGCCCTAAACAAGAATAAGGGGGGGGGGACCTAATGTCCTCCCCCCTGGCCCCCATCCCTGAGTGACTAGGGGTCTCCAAACCCCTAGTCACCCCCTCCCCCCAAAAAATAAACCCCTACCTACCCCCCTCACCCTAAAAATAATGAGGGGGGGACCTTTAACTAAGTACCTGTAAATAAAATAAAACTTACCATTCAATCTACTAAAATCTTTTTTCAGCCCCAAAAAAGGCCAAATAAAAATCCATCTTCACCCGGCGAGGGCTCCACGCAGACTGAGCTCTGCAGGGCGGGGAAAGGCTTATAAAGCCTTGCCCCGCCCCGGAAATTAGGCTCAGAGCACTCTGATTGGTGGGTTTAAGCCATCCAATCAGAGTGCTCTGACAGGTAAGTTTCTACATTTACCTGTCACAGCACTCTGATTGGTTGGTTTGAAATTCAGTGCTCTGTGTCATTTTACACAGCGTGGGAAAGTTCTTTGGAATTTTCCCATGCTGTGTAATTTGACTCATAACACTCTGATTGGTGGATTAAGTTGTTGTTTTTTTGTGCTCTGTTTTTGTTTTTTTAAATTGCGTCGGTTATTATGGATTTTTATTTGGCCTTTTTGGGGCTGAAAAAAGATTTTAGAATTAAGAAAACATTGAATGGTAAGTTTATTTTTACAGGTACTTAGTTAAAGGTCCCCCCTCATTTTTAGGGTGAGGAGGGTAGGTAGGGGTTTATTTTTGGGGGGAGGGGTGACTAGGGGTTTGGGGACCCCTAGTCATCTGGGGGAAGGGGTGTTAAATTTGTATTTAGGGCCCCCATCCGCCGCTCAGGGGTGAGGGCCAGGGGGTAGGACATTAGGTTCCCCCCATTTGTATTTAGGGTCCTCACCCACCGCTCAGGGGTGGGGGCAGAGGGGAGGACATTCGGTCCCCCCCCCCATTTGTATCTAGGGCCCCCACGCACCGCTCAGGGGTGGGGGCGGGGGGAGGGGTGGTAGGTCCTCTCTTTAGTTTAAAAGCCCCACTCGCACGTCGCTTTTTTTTTTAAAAACTGTGAGCAGCCACAGGCAGCCACTATAAGACTATAGACTATGTCTATTAAACAGTGAGCAGCCACTGTTTAATAGACATGCCCCTACTCGCAATATAGCGAGTAGGGGCATAATTTACTAATACAAAGTAATCTTTACTTAGTATTAGTAAATTTGGCTGAAAGAACAATTCAGGTCTTTCAGCCTTTTAGTAGATAGCTCCCTAATACCATGGGAATTAGGGAGTTATCTACTTATTCATTCCTGTCATTACATGACTGGCCAAGTTACTTACATTTTATATGAATGTATGTTACTTTATTGTTGTAAGTGTTGCAAATGCTTACAGCTGAATCCTGGCTATGTTTGTATACTTTTTATTTAAAATTGTATGCAATGTAACATTCTTCTTCTTTCACTGGGTAAGTATATTAGCACTTAGGCAATTCAGCTATTCGGAAGCACCCAAATGTCCGAATTACATGAAATTCGGCCGAATTTTAATTAGGACCGAAACGAATTGCACATGTCTAACATTTAATATTAATAAGTGTGTCTCTCTACATGTGTCTGTAT